TCTTCACAATAAAATAACTATATGTAAATTGCTACTTCTACATTATCCTTTAGCTTGTCAAACTATCAAAAATTGACTAGAGAAGAGGATATTCAGCATGTTTAAGAGGGCTGCTGCAATGCTCTGCACATTTATCTACAACAAAATCCTTTTGAATTCACAAGTTATAAAAAATCTTCATGTCTTGGCTTCTAATCTGTAAAATCAGATCACATTTGCCAGTTTTAACTTTATAAACATATATGTCCATTTTCTTCTGATATGACCAAACACAAGCTTTAGAAATTTCTGTTCTAGTGCTTTGATTTGCTATTCCCTTCTTCCATTGCTGCCACCAATATTGCTTGCTTTGATTGACCTTTTAGCTGTTAGATTGATTTGGTTTTCCTTTAGTAATGCAAACAATTTTCAGTGGGAAAAAAATCAAAATTCACTACAAAAATCAGGGTTAGAAATATTTGGCTGCTTTTAAAACATGGGCCTTACTTCTGATTTCAACCAAAAGTCTTGAGAAACTTTGTAGATCTTAACTTCTTCAGCTTTGAAGATATCCTATGTAATGTAGAAAATTATACTTGGAATTAGAATCATATTAAGTTAGGGAAAAATGAAATTATGTTCTAGCTAATTTCTAATTTTTCATGATAATAAAGGTGAAAACCCATTGATAATAATAGAATCATGAAGTTAAAAGAAACCTTGGGAGGTATCTACCCAAATTTCCTACTCAATTCAGGATCTGTAAAGCAGAAGGCAATTACAACATACCTGACAGATGGCCATTCAGCATTTGTTTATTTTCTCCAGCAAGGATAGTCTACTATGTTACATGGCAGCCTGTAGCTCTACCGAACACTTTGTAATTTTAGGACATCTCTTAAATTTAGTTGAAATTTCATCTCTTGCAGAGTCTACATATTAATTCTATTTCTGCCTTTTTGTAGCTACAAAGAACAAAGAGTTCCAACTTCTGTGTGGTAGTCTTTTAGATATCAATGCTGATATGTCTCTCGTGAATCTTATTTTCTTTTATAGACTAAACATCTGCTGGGCTTTTTTTTGTTATGTTTTGCTTTGCTTTTAATGACCCTAATAGAATTTGGTTTCTATATTCCTTTTCATCCAGCTCTTTTCTCTGAACATATTCCAACATTTTATGAAATGACAACTGAACTTTGTCAGAATTGTCTTTTACATCTTTTGGCTTTATCAACTCTTTATAAACTCCTATCTTCCTCCTCCTTGCAATATAAAGTCTGAACTAAGTTCTGTACCTCTCAGTAGATCTTACCAGATCTTATCATGCACTAAGTGTGCACCAACCCGTCCCACACAGTATATTTTCTGGGCCACTGTTGCCTTTAAAACTGTGAAGCACAATGTACATGGATCAAATCATGTTAATTTCTCTGCTGAACAAGGCAAGAATAGGCAATTAGTGTCTGAATATTTGATTTAGAAAAGCAAAACAAAGGCAATTTGATGGGATCTCTAAATCGGATTGGGTTTTTGAATGAAAACAATGATGTAGTCTGAATTATCATACTGAATTGAACACCACAAATGAGATTTGATACAGCCAGTTTAGATACATGTGTTTTTAATACATGCATTCATTCAAATCTATTTGGACTATTAAAATCAAATTGGACAGGTTTTCCAATTCAAATCAATGATTAGAATTACTTTAACTCAACAATCTAAATCATATTGTCTATTTGAATTGTACCAGACCTAATTCACATAGGCCAAGTAGTTAGTACTGAATTCAAATACTGTTTCATTGACATCTTGTCCTTAATCTAACACAGCTCAGACCTAAGGAAAAGTTACAGAAAAAGCTGTAAATATGCTAAAAACATGAGTAATAGTTCACAATCTTCCTTAAACCCAATTTTTGCTTTGGAAAATTCTGAGACAGTCCTAGAAATATATTACTAGTAGTAAATCTGAACACCTTTTACCAAGTATATTGACCATACAAAAACTCTATTTCCCCCATAACTGTATTAATTTTCTTTTGATTTGTTCCTGAATTCTTGAAACTACTCAATCAGTGACAAACTCAGGTGGGAGAAATTGTCCTTCACTACTTCCATCCTATATCTATTTTCTATTTAGGCTATAAATCTGCGGGATGAACAAATTACTTTAAAGTTCATTTTCAGAGTGCTTTGTTGGAGATGTCATACAAATGATTATAGTTATTTTACTGTTTCTATAAAAACTGATTTGCTTTTTCTATTGAAAAGTACCTTGAAGGAATTTTACCCAATTGGGAAACATTTTAGTTGTGCAAAAATGATTTTATCCAGACAAGAGACTATACAACATTTGCAGAATGATAGAAGACAACTACCGTAATACAACAATTTGATGTGTTGCCTAGAGATACATCTCTGTACATACATATGTACATACCTGTAGGTCATTAAATTAGGACCCTAGCCTATATTGCCAAACTTCTGAGTTTTGACATATAATCTGTGAAATATTAATGTCTACATGGCCCACTTACCTTTTCAGAAACAAAATATATAACCATACAACCATATTAAAATTCTTGATTCTACCTCTCTACAGATCCTACTCCTGACTACATCGGCAGCCACAATTGCTATTTTAATGAAGTATATATTCATAATATAGTTTCATGATATACTGTAGTTTCATGTATGTCTTCACTGAGCTTCAATATTTAATTGTTATTGTGACAATAAATGTTATTTTATCTCTTTTGTTAAATTTATTTGTTGCCTATCTCTCTACGAGGTTACTATAGGTAGCTTTATATTTGTGCAAATGAATTTATATATTTATAAATTTATATCTATTTATATACGTGCAGGTGTAGGTTTCTTTCATTGCCTTATTTTCTAACCCTCATAATTTTTCTGCATATTCTTTGTTTGCTTGCTTTTTCAAATTATTTTTAATACTCTATATGCATATGAATTAATTGATAGCTAGAATGATCACAAAATAATCTTACTCTTGGGACAGTCTTGTCAAAATAGCTTAATTGAGATCATAAAAAAGAGAATTAGGATATGGAAGCCTTTAGACTGAAAGAAATGTTCAGTATTTCATACTGACTTGGCTTGGATGTAGTTTGATTTGAGCTATCATTGCATAAATCATTTCCAGACAATTTTTGTCTCCAAACACATAGAGTAAACACAAATTAAAGCTCCACAGCTCTCACATCTGTCATTTGGTTTTTAAATGATTTTGCCAAAAAAGCAATTTGTTGAAAAGTTTTTTTTTTCACAGACACTATCATGAGCTGATGGTATGGAGAGAGTTTGGCATCTTTACTATATTAACATTTGAGTAGCCCAAAAGTTGATAGCTGCTTAAGAGGGGCAAGGCAGTCAGAATATAACCAAAAGATACAAAAGACTTTTGTTATAATTCCATTTCTGAAAAGCTTGTTCATATCCAGTGCTAAAGGCAATTGCCGTTATCAGAGACCTTTGGCATAGCAATGGTTCCTTAGGCAAAGCAGATGGGATTTTATTAGAAGGGTAATAGCTTTTAATAGTAAGATTAAGGAAAGAGTAGTTCATATTGACCAAATGCATGAGCAACATACTGTGTATAACTGGGAGGACAAAGAGAATTTTCCATTCCTAAGAGCAGCTTGCTTCTCAAGCAACAGCAAATCTATGTCAAATACTGTTGTTGCCTTTGACTGTTGTTGTTGGATTGAGGCCACTTACATGAAGTGAGGGTGTTTTCATCGTAAGCATTTCTACAACATTCATCATTAAAAATAAATCAGTCAGATCATCTTCCTTGAATTACAGCAATTGCATGCACAGTGAGATGTTGGAATGCTTTAAGCACTGCCAGCCAATATTAATAATTCCAGCTTGATGGACCAATATTATACTTCAACAGAAAGTAATCTTTGTTGATCCTTCTGCCTTGATCTCTATAAAGTGCCTATTTCTAGTGTTGCTTTTGTTTCTAGGCTTCAGGTCTGTTTCTTTCAATGCATATGTAACAAGGAGTTTTATTTTTCAGAAAATTAAATGCTGTTTAGGACTTTTAGATTACCCAGCTCACTAAGTGGGGGGAGATCAGAGCCTGTTTCAAGTCCAGCTGCTTAACCAGGGTTGGATTGCTGCTGGCATTACTGCCAGATTGGCATGCAAAAAACTTTGTGTTTACCTGCTTGTTTCACTTTTGCGCATTTGCACCTAAAAAGGTCTGCACATGCACACAAGGTTAGAAAAGGGATTTTTTTCTTTGCAAAGAAGATTGTTCTGTGCATGAGCAGAACCAAAAAACAAGATGGCACCGCCGTTGATAGAACCGGTTTGGGGGCATGGCAGGCCAAGTTACTACCTACTCATCCAAACCGGTCCAAACTGGTAGGAACCCACCTCTGTGCTTAACCATTATACCATACTGGCTCCCAAAGTACCTGTTTCCAATAAAAGTTTTTAAAAGAACAGTAAGAATAGAAGATTACCATGTTGTAAAGATATTGAGTGTGCTGTGTAAAAACAAGCCTTGTTAAATTACAAATGTAATTGGATATAACCTAGGATANCTATTAAGTCCTTTCCATGAACTTGAGTTAGGCAGATGTTGTTGTTTAATAATATTAAAAACCACATCAAGACAGTATTTCACTGGAGGAGGAGGAGGAGGAGGAGGAGGAGGATGATGATGATGATGATGATGATGATGATGATTGGTTGCACAGTGAGCCAGATGTTTAGACTAGATTTGCCATTTTTACTCACCTGTCAAGTCTCATTATTATTATCATTATCAGATCCACAATATGTGTTTTTCTATGTATGTTTTAAAATAAGTATTCTAAATAAGAATAAAAGTTCCTGCTTATATTACCATTAGGAAGATACTTACTTTTTTGTTGGGGTAGCATCTTTCCTTTCTTGTGCAGATCATTTGATGATGCTTTTTGAAATATAATCTGAATTTCACTACTTGGGACTTGATGGGTGCTTTTCTTTTGCAGTTACCTTATTGGATTCCAGATCAGTTCAAGGTGAACTTGGCTGGATAGCGAGCCCCTTAGAGGGAGGGGTAAGTTCAGAATATTTTATCTAATCAATAAAAAATTGAAATAATGAGTAAATTTCTAAGGATACTTTTCTTCACTGATTGTGCAAAAGGTCAATTTATTTCTATGGCCTTTAAGATATGTATTATATTTTGTTGGTGAAACTGTATTATTTCCTTGTATAAACTTGGGATACCCTGTCATGGAAGAGTCTTATAAAAAGAAAAGCAACAATAATTTTAGAATCAGGAGGAGGAGACTCTCACTGGATGCAAGTCAGCAAACTTGTTAAGTCAATTCTTTTTAGGGAACTGAATGTGCATTTGTGAATTCTAACACAAATGCAAAATATTTCTTCAAAACTCATTTATAAATACCAATTTTTAAAATAAATGAATTATTATTTTTTCATTTTGATCAAGGGTAAAACCATATCTTTTATCATTTCATGATAGTAATAATTTTTATTCATAATTTATATGAATGCTGTTCTTAATGATGCACAAAACCCACAATTCTATTCCATTTTATATTGGAAGTAAGCAGAAAAATTATTTTGATAGTTTAATAAAGTTATCTTTAAACAAATTCTCATCCAATTTTCATTGCCCATATTGGAAAATATTCTAAAGTGGGAAGCCACAATCAAATTTATCTCCTAGTCAATAGAAAGGTGAATGTTCAATATTCCTTTTAAAAAATTTAATATTTAGCTATAAATATTCTTTTTCTTTGTCAAAATACATATTTTTTGTGTACAATGATAAGAACATTGTACAAGCAGAATAGAAGAATTTGGTCATTTATTAGCAAATCAAATAATTAAGACATTTGTAGATATGGATACAGAGAGATACTTTAATCATGGCTTAGTTATATGCAAATATAATAAACTTTAAATAAATAGCATGTGGCTTGATATGATAGTTCCAAGAAACTCAAGAGTATTTCTTACTGGATTTATTGGAAACCATTAATACTCTACATATCATAGGATCAGATATTTTATTAAATAATGTAACACAGCTCTCTTTTTGCTACAGAAGCAGGGCTAATAAGGACAACAGTTTCAGGAGTAAAACAAGATGCATGATATTCCCAGTGACCATAAAGCTCTTTAAAATTAAACAGACATATTATTCTAACTGTATAAAGACAAACTATTGATACCAATTGAAGGTAAATCAGAAGCTTTCAAACACCATCAAATATATCATAGGCACAGATACAGTTCTTGTTACTAAAATACATTATTCTTTAATGTACCTTGTACATTTGTATCTGTGTGCTTGCATGTAACTACCTCTATGGAAGAAGGAATGTGAGGTTATTTATTTAGAGATGCATTATGCATAAGCATTGAAACAGCCCTTTGATGGGAAAATAGTCAATTGTCCTGTCCCCATTGTTGCCATGCCTGAACTTGACTGCAGTTAAGTTGTGGTCTGCCTCGCTGTCCCTGGAATCCCTCCTCCTTTTCTTCATGCAAGAGGAAATGATTGGCAAGCTACTGGGTGTAGATAGCATATATTCACTGCTGATTGCAGCCAATTGCCCTCATCTTTTGACAATGGGAAAAGTATAGCTTCATCTCAGTAAGAGTCAGGAGTCCAGTTAGTCTGGTACCCTGGAAAAGTTAATAAATTAGTCTGTCTTTCAATGTAGGGAGTATTTCTTTTATAGCTTTAAATATTTTAATTTTGAATGAAAATAACTTCAGAAATCTAAAAATGCTGAAGAAAATAGTTATTCTATGTTAATAATAATAATAAGCTGTACACTTTTTTTAAATAAAAACAATGGGGAGAAGTGTTTTCATGATCATATATGACTAATTGTATTAAAGCTTATACATGATAGTGGTAAAAAAAGCTTAAAGGGATCTTATCAGCTTTCAAATCTGCCTGTAGGAAAGCTGGAAAAAATATTTAATGGTTTCCTATACTGCAGGCTTCATTCAGAGCATTGGATAGATTTTTTTTTTAAAAAAATATTTTTTTCAAAAATACCCCAACATATTGTTTAAAGATAAACTCTGATTCCTCCTTACGTTTTAAGGAGATTTCTGTATGATGCAGAATCCCATGTTACCATTAAAGAAGTGGTTATTTCTTTAATGTGAAATATTTTATAGATTAATAAGAGATTGGAGATAAAAATAGGTGATTTAACTGAAATGAATATGTCTATTGCTGAGTCCATGGCAGTCCTTGAAGAACAAATGTTTTAGCCTATACATTTAATTAATAGTTTAATTTTAAAATTTGAGTTAAAAGAAACTGTTGGTCTGGAATGCTTTATCCTGGATTATTAAATCATAGGAAGTCTGTTTGACAAAACTGAAAAGGAGGACAAAGTTAATATTTGACCACACACTTTATCAAACAATAATTTATTTCATGTGGAAATGTGCAGTTTTATTATGTTTGGCTCTTTACTGATGATATAAATATTAAATGAAAAATGCAGTTCTATTGAAGAAGGGAAGAAGTCGTGACCAAATCCTATGAGGAATTTTGCAGTAAAGGGTCTGTGTTCTTTTCACAGAATTCAATAGGCTTTGGGCCAGCCTTATAATTTGACTTGTCTTTTGTGTAAACATGCAAAAGGAAATCCCACTGACCATTTTTATTCCTTCTCCTTTTTCCGCCCCTGCCCTCTCCCATACTATAGGGTATTGGATCATAAAGGGCAGAATTGTAACACAATGCTCATTTCATGGCAGCTGTAAATTAAAGAACTTTGTTGCTCACTTTGTGCACTAGCATTTTACATTGATAGATGGCTTTCCAGTTTCCCCTATTATCCGTGACACAGTTTGACATGGTGGATATTCTTTCTCTCTCTGTGTCTTTCTGTGTCTCTCTCTCTCTGTCTCTCTCTCCCTTTTCTTGAATTCTCAAGTATCCCTAGACAATAACTCAAATATTATCATCTTGACTCTGGGGGTTAGCTGCCACAGCTCTATAAAGTGTTTTCAGCTATCCAGCATTGTATTTAAACTCAAGAGCACTTTAATGGCTATGAACTTTAATGATTATGAACACAATACAGTGAAGAGTAGCTTATATCTTATAACATCCACAGGTACAAGTGTATTTATTTTGCTTGCTGATAAAGCCCCTGAATACTATTTTATAATGCTATTCTATTGTTTTAGGTACACGTGCTTCATTGAAAAGGATTGGATTTAATTAATTTTTTATAAGCGAGGGGAAAAATACATTTTCCTATGTCATTGATCCTGAATTCAGCAAAACTAAAATCAATTTATTTTTTTCTTTTGCAAATAAATAAATAAATAAATAAATAAATAAATAAATAAATAAATAAATAAATAGACACAACAGTACTTTTCTGCATCCTACGACTAATATAATCACATTTTGAAAGCTCTTTTTGATTGATATTGTTCTTTTCTCTCACTCTTANTTGCAAAGCCAAACCAGACATTTATGGAGGTGCAGATGACAGACTCAATACTTCCTCTGTAGAACTTAATCAGCAGCTCTTTGGGCAGTTTGAGCTTTCTGAGTTGGCATAGAAAGAACATACTTTGCTGTGCTTTTTTGATGACATTTTTGATGTTAGGTGTCCATTTTATATCTCATATCTTGAGATATGATAGAACCTAGAAACTTGAAGTTCACTAGATACTGTGTTGTCTAGTATTGTAAGAGGTGGTATTATAAGATGGTTTTTCCTAAAATCTACCAATATTTCTATGGTTTTGAGTGTATTTAGTTCAAGATTGTTCTGGTGGTTACAGCACAAGGTTAGTTGTTCAATCTCCCATCTGTATGCAGATTCATCATTGTTTCGAATCAGCCAATCTCTGTTGTATCATCTACAAATTTCAGAACTTTAACAGAGGGATCTTTTGAGATGCAGTCATTGGTGTATAGAGAGAAATGGAGAGAGCACACAATCTTGGGGGCTCCTTTACTAATTGTACAGGTATCTGATGTGATTTTGCCGAGCTTCACCTACTGCTTCCTGTCTGTTAGGAAGCTTATGATACATTTACAAGTGTGGTCAGATATAGCTAGATGATTTAGTTTAGTTAGAAGAATATCTGGAATGATGGTATTGAATGCTGAACTGAAGTCTATAAAGAGCTCCCTTGCATAGGTCTTTGGAGATTCAAGATGTTGTAGGAGTCATATTAACAGTATCATCTGTTGATTTATTTGCTCGGTAGGCAAGTTGCAAGAGTCTAACAGTGGATCTGTGATAGTTTTCAGGTGAGCCAGCACTAGCTTTTCAAAGGTCTTCATAACTACAGATGTTACAGCAACTGGTCTGAAGTCATTCAGTTCGTAAATGGAGTTTCTTTGGCACTGGGATGATAGTACAGCATTTGAAGCAAGAAGGAACACAGAACATCTCTAGTGTTTATTAAAGATGCAGGTGAAGATAGGGACCAGTTCATCAGCACAAGCTTTTAAGCAAGAAGGCGTTATCTTGTCTGTGCCTGGTGCTTTTCCTGACTTTTGTCTGTGAAATAGACCTTGTACCCATTTTCTGTAATCACCAGAGATGGTGGGCCGAATGGAATGGAATCAGTTGTAGGAGACTGTTGTTGGTGTGTCTGAGATGGGGATTGTGCAGATGGATAGCAATAGTAGTTTAAACCTACAGTAAAATACATTCAGGTCATCTGCCAGTTGCTGATTTCCTTCAGCATGGGAAGGTGGTTTGCTGTAACAGGCAATATTTTAAAAGAGTTTTCCACATGTCTACTGTTCATTTGTTCAGAACTGATTCCTTAGCTTTTCAGAGTAGCTTCTTTTTGCTGCTCTGAGCTCCCTTGTTAATACGTTTCGGGCCTGATTATCACCTTTTCTGTAGGCTTCCTCTTTGGAATGATGTAGCTGCTTAAGTTTAGCTGTGAACCAAGATTTATTGTTACTGTACCTTCGCAGGTGTCTGGTTGGCACACATAAGTCTTCACGAAAACTGACATATGATGCTACAGTATCTGTGAGTTCATCCAAGCCTACAGAGTATCTTCAAAAACATT